AGAGTTACAGTCCTGTCCGACGATCAGTCTGTGTCGTACGTGAATCGTAACCTGTAGAGTTACGAGAGTGGTGTCCGACGATCAGTCCCGCTGTCGTACGTGAATCGTAACCTGTAGAGTTACGAGAGTGGTGTCCGACGATCAGTCCCGCTGTCGTACGTGAATCGTAACCTGTAGAGTTACGAGAGTGGTGTCCGACGATCAGTCCCGCTGTCGTACGTGAATCGTAACCTGTAGAGTTACGAGAGTGGTGTCCGACGGTCAGTCCCGCTGTCGTACGTGAATCGTAAACTGTAGAGTTACGAGAGTGGTGTCCGACGATCAGTCCCGCTGGTTTGACAACATTAAGTTAATCTGTTTAAATGGCATTTAGAAGTTGGTGACGAATAAGAAAGTAAGAAAGTTTATGGATAACAATATAGAGTATAATGTCCGACGAAGACCCGCTTTTGAGATACCACTGACATGATCAGCCAGTGGTTTGCCCAACATTCAGTTAAGCATTTTGAAAACTTAGGTGTCAACGTTTGCCCTAATTAAAACTTCCTGGCGTTATAAGAGGGAGTCATGGAGAAAGAGAGAGAATCACCACATATTCCTATTGGATAAAAACGTGTCCTTTGTATTTACATTAATTTGAAAACTATTACCTTTGGTGTGACTTTTGTTTGAAAGATCCAGCTCGGTGGGGTCCGAGAAGCTTATGTCAGATGTTCTGCTCATTTGAGGGGTTCGAGCAACAGATTGAGACGTTGGTTTGTTACACCTCGTTGATGTCATGGCGTCTTCAAATACCACATTCAAGAATACGCTGTCGGAGCTGTCATTTACATATATGACACTTTACCTTTTACATAGTGGACATAAGGCCTAGTTTCACCGGTGCGATATCGTGAGGATCAGTCGGGAAAGAACTGATTGAAAAAGAAATGAATGATGTGGCGACATGCACGTGCATGTGTCTGATGACAGGTCCAGCCTCGCAGCACGGGACAGTTGGACAAACAACGGCATCATCAGTGACGCCCTGGGACGCATTTAGATAAAACACCTGGATTTTAATGTCCATATATTGACAACGGACGTGCGACTATCTTAGAGCAAGAGAGCTTCGAAAATCTCGGCTTTGGTTATTGACAACGGACGTTTTGTGGACGCTCAGCTTTGTGGATGCAGCAGCTGGACCAGATCCATCAGTGGATGACAGAATGTGGAGAGACAACATATTTAACTGGTCTCGACTATATCCCTGAGGGCGAAATCGCCAAGGTAGTAGCGGAAACTGTATGAATGGATCAGAAAGTGTTGGCGGAAGGGATGAACATGTCGGCGGCAACCGCCCAGCACCGTCCTACACCGTCGTATGACAATTATGCAATCAACCACCCACCTGAACCATACCGTCCCATACACTACAATCCCCAGTAATAGGGTGGTGTGGACCTTTACCAACACGGGAGGCGACCATTTATGTCGCCATCCCTATGAGCCTAAAATGACGCATGCAGATGATGTATTTCATTCATAACACGTCTATTATTCTTTAAAAATTCCAATCCTGCACACCCCCACCATCCATCCCACTACCAACCAACCAAACCAAGAATATGTGGCCGGTCCCTCATGCCCTTCATGTACACTGAGTGAGCTGTGAGACATCGTGACGGTGTATCTGGACCTTAACACAACACCGCCGCTGTATAGAAGTATAGTGTTGAATTCCCCGGTATAGGCGTTATCAATACAAACTTGTAGAATAACTACCTTGAATGCAAGTTTTGTGAATGAGCAGATCGGGCACTTGATCCCGTCTTTGTATCAAACGCTGCAGGAAGTGTTAGTGAGGCAACACATGGGCCTGGCCCATTCATGATCAGGGTGTACTGTCCGGACTGGTCTTCCCGACATCACCGGTTTGTCTGACCGGGGTTCCCCTCGTGATAAACATGCAACACCTGCAATACTTTCGATTTTCACCCCATTAAAACACTGCAAAAACAACCTATTACCGTTAAACCCAACCCACTCATTTGTGGTTTAGATTGGTATTTCTAGATAGCCTCGAGTTTAATCATTCGTGTCTATAACGGGGACATACATAGTCTGGATACTGCTGTTGACAACTGTCTTCAACATGGGTACCTGTGGTGCACGAAGCCAGACTGAACCTACTGAGATATACTCATGGAAACGAATAAGGGAACACATGAAAGTACAAGTGTTCCTTTAGTCTTTTCCAGGTTACTTCACAAGGTATGTATTGCACTGTGGGTGAAAGTCTGGAAATAAATAAAGGGACACTTGTACTTTCATGTGTTCCCTTATTCGTTCCCATGAGTATATGTATGGAAACCTCCTCACCCGATCTCCTAATACTGGAAAAAACATGTGAAGACATCAACATTTCGTTCACGCAAACTCGGTACAGGGCTGGTGTCCCCGTCGTGATATTGCTGGAATATTGCTAAAGCGGCATAGAACCATACTCACTCCTCTCACTCACTCGCTGTGCAGGGATAGTAGACTAACATTGGCAGCATGCTTTAAACGAACTGCCGACGACTCGATTGCATTATACTCCCCTAAACCTCGAGTTGGCGAGGGTTATGATTGGAGTCTACCCAATAAAACATCATCATTTGATTACATGGGTGTAAATTTAACGGAAACAAACTACTTTCAATAGTCTCAATCATTAACCTCACATCAGCCTGCATCGACTCCACTTCACATGGGGTGACGATATATATGACCAAATACTGGACCACTATGGGCACGCCACTATCACCAATCTCACTGAGATATATGTCAGACCTAGAAGAGAAAGCCCTCCTCATATCACCTTTCAAGCCTATGTGCTGGTATCGGAAGGTGGACGACACATTTGTGGTTCTGAAACCCGACAACGACCCTGCTGAGCTGCTACACCACCTGAACAAGCAACATCCAAGAGTTAAATTTACCACGGAGACTGAAACCAACAACCAGATCCCATTCCTATACGTCCTTGTATCCCGCACCGATTCCAACCAACTTCAGTCATCTGTATACCGAAACCTACTCACACCAACCAGTATGTCCACTATCAGTCCAACCACCTCCACGTGTGAAGTCAGGCATCATCTCCACGCTTACCAGAAGAGCTAACAACATCTGTTCTACGAATCTCCATGACGAAATCAACCACCCGAAAGAAGTATTTGTCAGCCTTAACCACTACCCACCCCAGTTAGTGAACAGGACAATTGCAGCTACATTATCACCATCTACTACTAAAATTCCTCTACCTGAATCTGCCCCTATAAAGATCTCCATCCCATACATCGGCAAACCTTCCCACCAGATCAGCAGGCTCCTTGAGCAACAAGCAGGCATAGACACCACCTTTTCAACTGCCGACAACATATTTAACTGGTCTCGACTATATCCCTGAGGGCGAAATCGCCAAGGTAGTAGCGGAAACTGTATGAATGGATCAGAAAGTGTTGGCGGAAGGGATGAACATGTCCAGGAGGTCGGCGGCAACCGCCCAGCACCGTCCTACACCGTCGTATGACAATTATGCAATGAACCACCCACCTGAACCATACCGTCCCATACACTACAATCCCCAGTAATAGGGTGGTGTGGACCTTTACCAACACGGGAGGCGACCATTTATGTCGCCATCCCTATGAGCCTAAATGACGCATGCAGATGATGTATTTCATTCATAACACGTCTATTATTCTTTAAAAATTCCAATCCTGCACACCCCCACCAGCCATCCCACTACCAACCAACCGAACCAAGAATATGTGGCCGGTCCCTAATGCCCTTCATGTACACTGAGTGAGCTGTGAGACATCGTGACGGTGTATCTGGACCTTAACACAACCCCGCCGCTGTATAGAAGTATAGTGTTGAACTCCCCGGTATAGGCGTTATCAATACAAACTTGTAGAATAACTACCTTGAATGCAAGTTTTGTGAATGCGCAGATCGGTGACTTGATCCCGTCTTTGTATCAGACGCTGCAGGAAGTGTTAGTGAGGCAACACAGGCCTGGCCCATTCATGATCAGGGTGTACTGTCCGGACTGGTCTTCCCGACATCACCGGTTTATCTGACCGGGGTTCCTCTCGTGATAAACATGCAACACCTGCAATACTTTCGATTTTCACCCCATTAAAACACTGCAAAAAACAACCTATTACCGTTAAACCCAACCCACTCATTTGTGGTTTAGATTGGTATTTCTAGATAGCCTCGAGTTTAATCATTCGTGTGTATAACGGGGACATACATAGTCTGGATACTGCTGTTGACAACTGTCTTCAACATGGGTACCTGTGGTGCACGAAGCCAGACTGAACCTACTGAGATATACTCATGGAAACGAATAAGGGAACACATGAAAGTACAAGTGTTCCTTTAGTCTTTTCCAGGTTACTTCACAAGGTATGTATTGCACTGTGGGTGAAAGTCTGGAAATAAATAAAGGGACACTTGTACTTTCATGTGTTCCCTTATTCGTTCCCATGAGTATATGTATGGAAACCTCCTCACCCGATCTCCTAATACTGGAAAAGACATGTGAAAACATCAACATTTCGTTCACGCAAACTCGGTACAGGGCTGGTGTCCCCCGTCGTGATATTGCTGGAATATTGCTAAAAGCGGCATAGAACCATACTCACTCACACACTCACTCGTTGTGCAGGGATAGTAGACTAACATTGGCAGCATGCTTTAAACGAACTGCCGACGACTCGATTGCATTATATTCCCCTAAACCTCGAGTTGACGAGGGTTATTATTGGAGTCTACCCAATAAAACATCATCATTTGATTACATGGGTGTAAATTTAACGGAAACAAACTACTTTCAATAGTCTCAATCGTTAACCTCACCTCAGCCTGCATCGACTCCACTTACTTCACATGGGGTGACGATATATATGACCAAATACGTGGACTACCTATGGGCCCGCCACTATCACCAATCCTCACTGAGATATATGTCAGACCTAGAAGAGAAAGCCCTCCTCACATCACCTTTCAAGCCTATGTGCTGGTATCGGAAGGTGGACGACACATTTGTGGTTCTGAAACCCGACAACGACCCTGCTGAGCTGCTACACCACCTGAACAAGCAACATCCAAGAGTTAAATTTACCACGGAGACTGAAACCAACAACCAGATCCCATTCCTATACGTCCTTGTATCCCGCACCGATTCCAACCAACTTCAGTCATCTGTATACCGGAAACCTACTCACACCAACCAGTATGTCCACTATCAGTCCAACCACCCTCCACGAGTGAAGTCAGGCATCATCTCCACGCTTACCAGAAGAGCTAACAACATCTGTTCTACGAATCTCCATGACGAAATCAACCACCTGAAAGAAGTATTTGTCAGCCTTAACCACTACCCACCCCAGTTAGTGAACAGGACAATTGCAGCTACATTATCACCATCTACTACTAAAATTCCTCTACCTGAATCTGCCCCTATAAAGATCTCCATCCCATACATCGGCAAACCTTCCCACCAGATCAGCAGGCTCCTTAAGCAACAAGCAGGCATAGACACCACCTTTTCAACTGCCGCCACCATCAACAACCTCCTGCAGGCCAATGGCAGAAAATACCCACAAACCAAGAAACCCAACCCCAAAGGCGTAATCTACAAAATTGACTGCAATTGTGGACACTCATACATAGGAGAAACATCCAGGCCCGTCAACACCAGAATCAAGGAACATCAGACCTCAACCATCAAATCAGACCAGAAATCAGCCATATCAGACCACATAGCAACTCATCCCAATCACCAAATCAACTGGACTGACTTCACCATCCTCGCTACAAACCAATCAGACTTTACCAAACGCAAGATAACTGAAGGAATTAACATCAAACGATACCGACCACTGATTAATAGAGATCAAGGCTACTTTATCCCCACTGCATACAATGAGCTCATCAATCACCCCTTGTCTCTTGTATAAACATTACTGGCTTCTACTGGCTTCCATGTGTATCCCCGTTACCCTCTGCTACCCTTTATTCACTATCATCACATTGTTAATTGTGTATACATTCTATGCTCTGTGTATCATTGGCTTCCACTGGCCTCTATGTTTATCCTATAATCCTCTGTTATCCCTTTATTTGTTATCATCACATTGTTATTCCGCCTTGATTGTTAATGAGTCTTGTTGTATATATATATCACCTGTTCTCTCCCTGTACCATTCTCACTTAAAATCGATACAAGAACCTTTACAATAAAAGAAGTTGTCATCCATATATACCTGTTCTATCTGACTTCTAACAATGCCGCTCAAAGAAGTACTGTGAAGTCCATATTTACAGAATGAACGTGAGGCGTGCATGTGTGCGTTCCGCCATTCTCCTTTATCCAGTCTGTTCTCATGATACTGCCTCCAGTCTGTCATGGAAAGACGATATGAAACACTAGATAATCGACGACGTTTTATAGACTCTTAGATAGTTTGGTGTCTACACCACATAGGGCCATATAACCGCCAGGTCACATGTTCGCTAATACATATAATCGGTGTTGAATAACCTCGCTTGAACACTTGATGACGATCTTGGTTAATGCAAGAGAGTGCGTTATCGTAAAGAATGGTTGTTCTTAAAGTTGACGTATTCCATGTGACAGACTGACTACTTAAAAAGTCCATTTGACCTGTCCCTATCCTTTCAAAAATGCCCTTGAACCGCATCAGTTCAGCAACAAGCATGTGGTTTGCTGATATCATGGCGCTGGGTCGTGAGGTTCCCACGATCAGGAAATGAGACCAATCTCCCCACAGAGAAACAGAAATGTCATTAATTAGGTGCATTACGTACATTCATTACCACAGGCAGCACAGAACTAGTGCAACAGGTCGTCATATACCTCCCTGACACTGCAGCTGAGCACGTCGCTTTACGCGCCAGCATTACTCCTGCTATAAACGACAGTCTCACAGACAGCTGGGGCATGAATGTAGATCTATCATCGTGACGTCACCGTAGTCTGTACTCTCCCAGGAGTGAAAATGTTGTCGACACACTGGGCGGGACAATAACACTGTACATAGTGCTTTAACCACCTACTGTGACACTGGGCGGGGAAATAATAATGTAGTGCTTTAACCACCTACTGTCACACTGGGCGGGGCAATAATAATGTCGTGCTTTAACCACCTACTGTCACACTGGGCGGGGCAATAATAATGTAGTGCTTTAACCACCTACTGTCACAATGTGCGGGGCAATAATAATGTCGTGCTTTAACCACTTTCAGTCACACTGGGCGGGGCACTAATAATGTAGTGCTTTAACCACCTACTGTCACAATGTACAGGGCAATAATAATGTAGTGCTGTAACCACTTAACGTTACACTGGGCGGGGAAATAATAATGTCGTGCTTTAACCACTTTCAGTCACACTGGGCGGGGCAATAATAATGTAGTGCTTTAACCACCTACTGTCACACTGGGCGGGGCAATAATAATGTAGTGCTTTAACCACCTACTGTCACACTGGGCGGGGCAATAATAATGTAGTGCTTTAACCACTTACTGTCACACTGGGCGGGGCAATAATAATGTAGTGCTTTAACCACTTACTGTCACACTGGGCGGGGCAATAATAATGTAGTGCTTTAACCACCTACTGTCACACTGGGCGGGGCAATAATAATGTAGTGCTTTAACCACCTACTGTCACACTGGGCGGGGCAAATAATAATGTAGTGCTTTAACCACCTACTGTCACACTGGGCGGGGCAATAATAATGTAGTGCTTTAACCACCTACTGTCACACTAGGCGGGGCAATAATAATGTAGTGCTTTAACCACTTACTGTCACACTGGGCGGGGCAATAATAATGTAGTGCTTTAACCACCTACTGTCACACTGGGCGGGGCAATAATAATGTAGTGCTTTAACCACCTACTGTCACACTGGGCGGGGCAATAATAATGTAGTGCTTTAACCACTTACTGTCACACTGGGCGGGGCAATAATAATGTAGTGCTTTTAACCACTTACTGTCACACTGGGCGGGGCAATAATAATGTAGTGCGGGCAATAATAATGTTAACCACTTACTGTCACACTGGGCGGGCAATAATAATGTAGTGCTTTTTAACCACATACTGTCACACTGGGCGGGGCAATAATAATGTAGTGCTTTAACCACTTACTGTCACACTGGGCGGGGCAATAATAATGTAGTGCTTTAACCACCTACTGTCACACTGGGTGGGGCAATAATAATGTAGTGATTTAACCACCTACTGTCACACTGGACGGGGCAATAATAATGTAGTGCTTTAACCACCTACTGTCACAATGTGCGGGGAAAAAATAATGTCGTGCTTTAACCACTTTCAGTCACACTGGGCGGGGCACTAATAATGTAGTGCTTTAACCACCTACTGTCACAATGTGCAGGGCAATAATAATGTAGTGCTTTAACCACTTAACGTTACACTGGGTGGGGAAATATAATGTCGTGCTTTAACCACTTTCAGTCACACTGGGCAGGGCAATAATAATGTAGTGCTTGAACCACCTACTGTCACGATGGGCGGGGCACTAATAATGTAGTGCTTTAACCACTTAACGTTACACTGGGCGGGGCAATAATAATGTAGTGCTTTAACCACTTACTGTGACACTGGGCGGGGCAATAATAATGTAGTGCTTCAACCACTTACTGTCACACTGGGCTGGGCAATAATAATGTAGTGCTTTAATCACTAACTGTCGAACTGGGCGGGGTAATAATAATGTAGTGCTTGAACCACCTACTGTCACACTGGGCAGGGCAATAATAATGTAGTGCTTTAACCACATACTGTTACACTGGGCGGGGCAATAATACTGTAGTGCTTTAACCACTTACAGTCACACTAGGCGGGGCACTAATAATGTAGTGCTTTAACCACTTACAGTCACACTGGGCAGGGCAAAAATAATGCAGTGCTTGAACCACCTACTGTCACACTGGGTGGGTCAATAACAATGTAGTGCTTTAACCAGTTAGTGTCACACCGGGCGGGGCAATAATTTTGTAGTATTTCAATCACTTAATGTCACACTGGGCGGGGCAATAATAATGTAGTATTTTAATAACTTAATGTCACACTGGGCGGGGCAATAATAATGTAGTATTTTAATCACTTATTGTCACACTGGGCGGGGCAATAATGATGTAGTGCTTTAACCACATATTGTCACACTGGGCGGGGCAATAATAATGTAGTGCTTTAACCAGTTAGTGTCACACTGGGCAGGGCAATAATAATGTAGTGCTTTAAGCACCTACTGTCACACTGGGTGGGTCAATAATAATGTAGTGATTTAACCACTTACTGTCACACTGGGTGGGTCAATAATAATGTAGTGCTTTAACCACCTACTGTCACACTGGGTGGGTCAATAATAATGTAGTGATTTAACCACCTACTGTGACACTGGGTGGGTCAATAATAATGTTGTGATTTAACCACCTAATGTGACACGGGGCAGGGCAATAATATTGTAGTGCTTTAACCACTTACTGTCACAATAGGCTGGGCAATAATGATGTCGTGCTTTAACCACCTACTGTCACACTGGGTGGGTCAATAATAATGTAGTACTTTAAATATCACTGATCATGCAATATGTTGGAAGCTGTTCAGCACTACTTGTGGGACCGTACTGGAGTCGGAAGTGGGGTATCGCGCGGACATCCGTCCGATAGTCAAGACTGAATCTTCTGTTCAATACCTTCATTAAATCCTTGAACATATGGTCATATTTAAAATAGGTGTCGGGAAAGGAAAACTCACTGTGGATCAGTCACACATTCACAAAAGTTGGATCGCATTCTGTGGTGCATGGGCGGATCCGGGAATTTTGAAAGGGGCGGGTTCATGGGGTTCGAACCCCCTGAATTCCCCATTGCCTCCGCAGACCCCCAAAAATTCTTAAATGTGGTTTTAAGTCATTTTCAAAAGGGGGGTGGGGGGTGGGGTGGTCGAACCCCTTGAACCCCCCTCTGGATCCGCCAATGTGGTGTAACTGCATGGGTGACTGAGAGGAATTGCCAGTAACTTATATACATCTGTAACCTCATTGGCTGTACTCCTTACAGCTGCCGGGGATTGGACTTTGTGTTTATGTCATGTATCTCATGTATCAATGTATGTGTATTAACCGAACATGACATCTGACAGTTTTCCAGCTAGCTACAGAGTATAGGGAAATTAACATTGAATGTATCGCAACAACTATGATGTTCTTAAAGGAGGACTGCTACGGGGAGGTTGGCCCTGCCGTACACATACATATATAACAACAGCGATATCAATAATAACACAGGATGATGTGGATGATAATGACGTCGATGTTGACGATGAAGCTAAATAATGGTGAAAATTAATATAAAAGTAACGACGACTACGACAACAACGATCTCTCTCACCTTCTCCGATGACACATCTAGTGGAGGACGCCGTGTGTCCCTCCCGCTCATCCTGTGAAGGGCTGGTGTTCCGGCAACTGTGTACATACAGCGGTTCTATAGGATAGTTAGGTGAGAACATTAACATAGTGACACTGCTCCCTGTAGACCTGGTTGACACGTCATCATATCCCACAAGCGTAGATCGATGCTCATGCTGTTGACCATTGGATTGACTGGTCCAGATTCGAATATTTACAGACCGTCGCCATACAGCTGGAATATTGTTGACGGCGGCGTTAAGCACCAAACAAACCTGTACACTAACGTTCTGCTCGATGGTATTGTGATACAAGTGCACAGCGTTTATGGCGTTTAGCTGAATATTGCCATAGAAACATGTTGTTTTTATTCATGGGGAAATATATATATATCCTTTGTCAGACATGCTATACCGGTGATACTGGTTTATGGTGCTCACAAACAAGACAATCTAATTCACTGACGTCATGAGCATTGATACACACAGGTGGG